GGAGAAGCTTGAGAGAGTCCAGAGGAGAGCCACCCGTATGATCAGAGGGCAAAACAGGCCTTATGAAGACAGGGTGCGAGCCATGGGACTCTTCAGCGTGGAAATGCACAGGCTCAGGAGTGACTTAGTGGTAGCCTATAAGTACTTCAGGGGTGTGCATCAGGATCTGGGGGAACGCCTGTTCACCAGAGTACCCCAGGGGATGACAAGGTCCAATGGTCACAAACTCCTCCAAGACCATTTCAGGCTGGACATAAGGAAGAACTTCTTTACTGTCTAAGCCTCCAAGGCCTGGAACAGACCTTGCAAGCACCTACTCTGGACACCTTCAAGAAACATTTGGATGCTTATCTTGCTGGGATCCTTTGACTTCCTGCCCCTGGGGTAGGGGGCTGGATCCAATGGTCTTACAAGGTCCCTTCCAGCCCTAATGTCTATAAAATCTACACAAACCGTGCTAATAGCTGGCTGTGCAGTTTTATTAGGCTAATTCGCTGTAAATGTCACTAAAAAACCATGATACGGCACTACTGCACAATAACTCTAGGTACTGTGTATTTAGTTATTATTTTTTGAAGCGAATACTAAACTAAATGCTAAGGCACACTAACGAATGTGTAGATGCACCCTGTCAATACAATTTGACTTTAAAGTAATAGATGCACAGAAACTATTCCAAGGTAAAAACACCAAAATGGGAATCCTAAGGACCTGCCTACACAACATTGGTTCATTACAACTAGACTGTGCAGTTAAAAGACTATAATCCATCAGCAGTGTAAGGGCTACAGCCTATTGCAAAAAAACAGGCCATGCCACAAGATCTATCCTATGTACATGACCCATATTACCATAGTGTAAGTGCCTCACAGTCCTTAAGGGATAACGTTTGCAGTTGTGTTGGTCTAAAATTACAAGCAGTCAGCAGAGGCAATATCTTTCATTAGACCGACTGAACAAAAAAAATTGCAGCTGTCCAGTTGGTCTAATAAAAGATATTGCCTCTAGCACACTGATTCAACAGTCATTAAGGAAGACATGATTCTTTGGATAAATGTGATATCTTCTATTAGACCAACTAAATAGTTGGAAAAACTGTTCTTTGCAAGCTGTTGGGCACAAACACCCTTCTTCAGGCAGAGGGAGAGGCTGCTGGAGTGTGTCCATTCTCCTGGGGGGTTTGGAAGTCTATATGCCAAATGCAGGTCTGTGAAAATGCAAATGTGTGGCAGGGAAGATCAGAGGGGATGGGAGACAATAGGTCTGAGACAGGTAGATGGGGAGGGGGAAAGCAGGGAATGTTGACCTAGAGATATACTGGAGCTGGTAAAATGTAGAGGTTTCCTGGGGATATCAGATGTCAGGCAGGTTATAATGTGCCATAAATCACAGTTCTTAATGCATTTATCCTCAGAATAAGGCCTTGCCTCAATAAAAATGCAGCCTCGGTTGGGGGTTGTCCCTTTTTTTTTTAAATCACATCCCTAAGAAAAATGATCACAAGAAGGGACAAGATCTCTGTGTAGACACAGCCCAGGATACCAGTTTCCAGTGTCTTTCCCCAGGAACCATAGTCTGTGTATGTATTTACAGAACCAAACCATTTTTAATAACACCACCAGTGGCAGCCTTTTGACCCAATCCCATGTTTGTAGGGTGAGGTGAAACTTGTTCGTACTACTGTTAGAGTATGGTTTTACTTTAGAGTAACAAATGTACAGAAACTATTCTGAAACTATACGAAAACAAACCAAGCTTTGTAGTTGTGCTGCAAGCTAAAGATGTCAGGATCAAGTCCAAAGGAAGAGAACAGAGTTCACCTCAGTTTACCTCGGAGTACAATGGAAATGCCAAGTCTTCATTGTGTTCTTACCTTGTGATAGCTAATGCATATACATTACTCCAAAGTAAAAAGCATAATTTTTTAGCAGAGAAGAAAAACCCTCCCAAACTGCTATAACTCCCAGATTGGGCCAGCTAGAGCCAGGATAACAGGAAAGCCACTCTTTTGCATTTGTTCTCCGTATGTCTCCATGAGCTGGTTCTGGAGACAAACATTTTCAGGAAATGTCAGGAACTTGTTCTCAACCAATGCTAAAATCAATCACATTTCTTGGTACAAATATAGATTGATCCACTCCATTGTTATGCTTATTAGTTCAAACTCATGGCCTTGTTACACCTTACACCAGGGGTTTTCAACCTTTTTTAAGGAGTGTGCCCCTTCTGGTGGCAGCAGCTGGACATAGAGTGGAGAGCGGGTGTGGGGTGGCAGCAGCCGGATGCGGAGCTGGGCAGGACTTGCATGCAGCAGCTGCATGAGGTGGTTGATACGGCAGTGGTGGCTGCCACATGCGAGCTTCCTCCTACAGCATCCTCCCCTTCTGCCCCCTGCATCCAGCCCTCTCTCTCCCTGCAGAGGGGAGCCACTACTCTGGCCCTCCTACACTGGCCCTGCTCTTGGGAGGCAGCAGCGCAGAGTGGTAGG